GATTGATATGTTGGAAAATTGGCTTGGATAAGCTTAATTTGGCACAATTTTAGGAAGTACCCGTTGGTTCAATTCGAAATTTCAAAGTCGATGCGTTCTCTTTTGTGAGCACATTGAAATCATATATTTACTTGCCAAAAATGGTAAATGTGTGAATGAGAAATTGAAGTTCATAATAGACCATTGGAAGAAGATTTATATTGGAGGGAAAACCATATTATGTGTATCCCACATAGGAACTTGATGAAAGCAATGACTACTTTATATATGACTTGTGTATGAGCCATATTATTTTGATAGAATGTATTTTTGAATAGTAGATTGATGAAAAATGTGTGGTTGGAAAATGAGAAAAAATTTTGAATTTGCGTATAATATTATTTTATTGAAACATGTGGTTAAAATAATGTCAAATTACTGTTAAAAAATGTATTTTCTGAAAGAATGCGGCTCAAACATAGCCATGATTACACTTTAGAATAGTATAATAATATGTAACATAGAGGCTCTCTCCACGTGTTCGTGTAGGGGGTGCATATCAAAGACCAAAATTGTACACCAAGTCTTGAGCTTGTGTAGGAACGCGACCTACATACACTAATGTCGGACCAAACGGAACAAAAATTTTTGTCAGAAGCTGAATTCCTTTGCTTGCCCAACATTTTCCGGACACTGGGACAGAGTTTCCAGTTTTGATCATGTATTTGCCGGAGTATAAATGTAATGTATAAGGCAAGGATAACACTAATACATAATTTTTTTTTCTATCCAGCTTATCTGCATTGACTCCATCGATCGACCTCCTTTTTTCTCCATATCAATACCAAACTCCTCAAGATGCTCAACGCAAGGTTTGAACCACACAATTGAATTGTAGATTCGACTGTTTAAAGATAGTTTTATATTAATAACAATATAATTATACGATAATTTTAAATTAAGAAAATACGTAGGCTATTTTTATAGTAATGTATTGAGTTATTTTCATTAAGGTTATGTTGTTTGCAAAAATAAATAAATAAATAAATAATTATAATTTAATTTTTTATTCCACAATGAAGAATGTATGGCTCTGTCACTACTTTACTTTTTAAATTATTCAAATCATATTTGAATTAATTGGCTATTGACAAATAAAAAACAATATACAGAAGTAAGGAAAACCAATACATGAAATGTCAAAATAGAAAGCATCATTGGAGTGTATAAAAATATTTAAATTTAAAGTTGATCTCTATTATTTATAAAATGCTCTTTATGAGAGTCTGGTAAAAATGTTCTAATCATAGTATGTTAATTTTATCTTAAAATGTCAATATTGTTAACAAAAGTAACTCAAAATTGTTTATATGTTATTATTATTTTCACATTTAATCCAAAATAAATTTGTGAGCGGGAAACAACAAAAGTTAAACACATTAGATGAGACTCGGTTAAAAGCCAAATCAAGATTGATATGTTGGAAAATTGGCTTGGATAAGCTTAATTTGGCACAATTTTAGGAAGGACCCGTTGGTTCAATTCGGAATGTCAAAGTTGATGCGTGTTCTCTTTTGTGAGCACATTGAAATCATATGTTTACTTGCCAAAAATGATAAACGTGTGAATGAGAAATTGAAATTCATAGAAGACCATTGAAAGAAGGTTTATATTGGAGGGAAAACCATATTAAGTGTATCCCACATAGGAACATGATGAAAGCGATGACTACTTTATATATGACTTGTGTATGAGTTAGATTATTTTGAAAGAATGTATTTTGAAATAGTAGATTGATGGAGAATGTGTGATTGGAAAATAAGAAAAAAAATTGAATTTACGTATAATATTATTTTATTGAAACATGTAGTTAAAATGATGTCAAATCACTGTTAAAAAATGTATTTTCTAAAAGAATGCGGCTCAAACATAGCCATGATTACACTTTAGAATAGTATAATAATATGTAACATAGAAGCTCTCTCCACGTGCTCGCGTAGGGGTGCATATCAAAGACCAAAATTATACACCAAGTCTTGAACTTGTGTAGGGACGCGACCTACATACACTAATGTCGAATCAAGCGAAACAAAAATTTTTGTCAGAAGTTGAATTCCTTTGCTTGCCCAACATTTTCCAGACACTGGGACAGAGTTTCCAATTTTGATCATGTAGGTGTCGGAGTATAAATGTAATGTATAAGGCAAGGATAACACTACTTATACATAATTTTTTGCACATTAAGTTATCCATAAACTTACTTGGGGTGGAGCCCGCTCGAATATTTTATTTAATTGGGCCCCACTCATGTGAGTGTGGGACACCTTGATGTACAAAAAATTATGTACACCAAGCAAAGCCGATAAGGCAATTGCATTATTGATTGAGATTTCCTTTGTGTTACCATTTTTGCCAGGCTTGATGTTTACATTCACGATTATTTGTTGAAAAGAAAATTGCATAATTCTGCAAAAGCTTTCATGACGGAAGGGAAGGTTGCTAAAGACTCTGTAGGTAAGAGTCTAAGAGATCCTTTGAATTTGCACGGTAGATTAAGCTTGATGTCGAACATAGCAAAAAACTTATGTTGAGATGCTCTAGAGTGTATTTATCATATGGCTTCTATCTGTAGCTATTGATGCACCTGAAGGATTTCTCTTTGAATGGTGGTCCGTCTTTTGGGACATCTTCATTGCACGGACAAATGAGAAACATTCTGAAGCAGCTGCAGCCTATATTGAAGTTTCTGAAATAATTGTTTTTCTTTGTAGTGTTACACATCAATTGACATATTCTTCAAAATGTCATATTTGTGTATGGATTTTGTTTAACTTGTTCTAATACATGTTGACATCCATTTGACAAACAAATGAAAGCAAGGAAGAAACATATTCTTCAAAATGCCATATTTGTGTATGGATTGTGTTTAACTTGTTCTAATTCATGTTGACATCCATTAGACACAACAAATGAAAGCAAGGGAGAACCAACACCAGCTTCAAATGCAGCACCTGCAACTCATGCAGCAGCGCCATGGCCAGTTACAGCGAAGGGATTCTAATCATCCTCCCATCGGTGGTCCCATGATTATTATTATTATTTTTTTTTAACAATAGACTAAATTTTTACCTTATATTCTTGATTATTGATCATATTTTCAAATAGCCTTGTAGCTCAGTTGGTGAGGATAGCATAAGTGGTACTTGTAGCATCAGGTTCGAATCTCTTGTCAAGTGATTTGTTATGTATTATTTTTATTCTATAATTTTTTTACCAAAATTCAATAGGAACCGGGACAAACGAGGTTTCGACACCGTGATCTCAAGCAACGGTTGTCATAAGCTTAACCATTATGGTATCTCTTGAATTTTGCAACTACATTTAACAAAATAATATTTGTTATGTTTTCATTGTTTTAATGCAACACTTTTAAAGATTTGAATTCGTACTCTTCCTTTGAACAAAACTTGGCAACAATGTCGTTGATGAGTTCCGTTTATTCTTATAACAAAATTATATATGTTCAGTTTAAACAAAATAATTGTTATATTTTATGTTTTATGCCTTGTTCGATTCCTTTTTTTTTTTTAGTGTACAGGCAGCTCTTGTTCCCTAACCTGTTGGGGCACATCCTGCGATTTACCTCCCTTACAAAGTTTTAGGGGAGGGACGGTGGGAGCCCTCAAAATTTGTGTTCAACCTCTTTTTATTTTTTTATTTTTTTTTTTATTTTTTTTTTTATCCGTTAATCTTCTTCTTTCTAAGAAGAATTACATGATTTGTCAATTACCTAGTTTTTTATTGGGTTAAATTGATGAGATGACGTTCATACATTATACTCATAAAAAATCGATTTCTTCGTATAAGTCGTTCCCCAAAAATTGTATTTTCCTTCCAACTTGATCGAGCCATTATGCAATAGCCACTAATAAATTATATTATTTTCTGTTGAAGTTAATTTATAATATTTTCGCTTTCATGACATAGAAGACATTAGCCGATTTTTTGTATAACTCATAATTCAGTTTCCATATACTTGGATCGACCAATTCACGATAAATAATTATGTTAAGAAAATATTAATAGCATTATTTACTAAATTTTAAAAAATTACTTAAAATTATACATCAATCAAATATCGAAACAATAAACGAACATACTCTTGTGAGGTAGTCTCAACCTTACTGACAGTCGCAGTGTGAGGTTCAATTCCTGAAATATGAAATTTGACTTTCTGTGGGCACCAGTGTACGGGCAAACTCTTATTCCCTGGCTTATTAGGGCACATCTCGCAATTTACCTCCCTCGCGATACTATAGGAGCGGGACAGTGAGGACCCTCAAAATTAGGATTTAACCTAATAAACAAACATACTCTTCGAAGAAAGCTTTTAAAGTTGAATCTAAGTTTTACTATTATATCAAAACACATTCAACCAAAGGATCAATTTGATCCATCTAAATTTCAAAATAGCATTCAAATTTCAATTGATTGGTGTGCTTAACATTAAGGGATCATGAAATCTCATTTCCATTAAATGACTACTAGAAACAAGATTGATTTGAAGACAGAACTTAGGTTTTAATAAAGTTATATTAGATATTTGATCTAAAAATAATAATTATCTGAAAGGGGGAAAAAAGGTGCAAGTATTTTCGACCAATGTTGCCTGTTACAAAACATAATCTGACGGGCCTTCCTAGCTTTTTAGGGTTGCAAGGAACCCGCAGCATATCTGCCCAACAAAATCTAAGACATGATAGACAGTCCTTTTTTTCTGTTTTTCGTTTTTCTATGGAAATTAATAGGAAATAGTACTAAAGTTATTTAAGTTTATAATAAATAGATTTAATGAAATAAAATAAAAGGCTGGACAAAGCAGCTTTATAGAAATCGAAGGTCAACTCAAGAAAAGCCCCAAAAGGCAAAGCATGTAACGTACGACCTTTTCTACCATGGAGGATCTAGAGAAATTGAACTCGCCTGTACTTAAAAATGAACAGACATTTACACATTACACTGAACTTGAACAACATGGACCTAACAAGAAATACAGGAAACTTTAAACGAAATTTCAATCTAGCTATCGAAATTAAAGTTGTCTTCGTCTAAATTAATCGTTTTTGTCTAAATTTTGATTACTTAATCCAATTCGGTAACAAAATATTACGCAAAAGAGTCATTATGGTAGAATTTTGTGACTGCATTAGAATAAAAAACTAGAAATGATTACAATAAGGTTTAAGAAGAAAGACAATCAATCAAAAGGGACATCATCTTCCTTCACTAGTACATCATATTTTTGAAGATCCATTTTCACCATTAGTACTCTAAATTATTAAATATAAAGCCATTTTTTGAAGTAACATTTTCTTGACAACAGCATAAACTATAAAGATAATTTCTTTTAGATTCTTGAAATATATAAATAGAAACCGTTAGATTCTTCAAGAATTCTGCACCTTAGCAGAGAAGAGTCCGAGTGCATCAGGATACTGAAAGATATCAGAGAACATTCTGGCAGGTGTGGCTTGAATGTTGGCCGAAAAATCAGTGTATACCGGCGTAGAAATTGATTCGATACCAAAAGGAGTGATGTTGAAGTTTTGAAACTGCTGTGGAATTCTTTGGCCTTCATAGACAAACCCTAAACGCTCATTGCCAAAAGAGGTTTTCACATCATCCAGTGATTGCTTTGCAGTAAATTCATTCGCCTGAGAAGCAAATGATGGCGGTGGCTCAGCCTTCACCACCGTAGGTTTTGGGAAAAACCCATGTAAGGCAGAGTCCAATAAGCCGGAATCAGGCTTCTCCGGGAGGAAAAAATCCATGCAGTCAGCTTGATCGACGGTGGTGATTGGATTTCTTGATGAAAACCCTAAACAAGTTGATTGATCATGTAGACTCAAATTTGAACCACTCCTAAAGTTTTGATCTGAAACTATGGTTGCATTGACAGTACTGGATTGGACAGTGGTATTGCACGGCAGATTTTCAAAAGAAGATCCCACAAATCCATTGTTAGGGTTTAAAGAGGAGCTGAAAATAGGAATTTGTTCATAAGAATATGAAGATGAATTGTTTGAACTAGAGTTGAGAAAATCACGAAGAAGAACCATGTTAAGAGAATTGCTTCTCTGTGTTACAGCTGATGAAGAAGCTTCATGGAAGTCCACAAGATTAGGGTTAGATGAAACAAATTGGCGAGAACTCAGGTCCCAAATGGAGGGCTGAGATGATTTAGTGAAGCTATACGGAGGGAGAAGATTATCCGCCGCGGGTATCGGAGATGCAGGGTAAACAAAGTTGGTTCTTGCTTTCAAACCACGCATGGCTCTGGCAGCACAGTCGTAGGCACAGGCTGCCTCCTCCGCCGTGTCAAAAGTTCCCAGCCACCGCCTCTCTTTCGACTGAGGGTCCCTTATTTCCGCTGCGTAACGGCCCCATGGACGGCGTCGGACACCACGGTACTTCATCGTGCCACCAGATGTCGAAACGTCTTTCAACGACCTCTTATTGGTGGTGGCGTTGGTGCACCGGTTTGGAACGGTGGAGGTGGGATGAAGTTGGTCGAGTTCTTGCATCTGTGTGTGGGAACCATTAAGCCTCCTCAAGGCCTCTTCCATTTTGAATCAATTGTTTGTGAATTTACAGAAGAATCAATGCTTGGGGGGTTCAGTTCTGGAGTAGGTTTTATGAAGAAGCAGTAGTTTGCACCTGAAACCGTGTGATGAAGCGTGGGATGGAGGATGGATTTATAGCCAGAATGTACACTTCTTGGAGAGGAAAGATATTATTGCCCTTTTTGTTTTAAGTTATTAATGTGCTCGTAATTATTTTAAGTAAAAAATTACATCTGTGGATACTGTAAAATCGATTTAATTTGTACCTTATGATAGAAAATTGGAGTTTATTTTAACGTAGTAATGCTATTTAGCCTCATTTATATTAAAATATCAGTGTAGTGTACGTGACACTAAAATTTGACTTAAACTAGAGATATAATTAAATAAATAACTTAATTTTACTTTTCGTTGAATTTATCATCGTACAACGGAATCATAGTGAAGCAAGTGACAGATCAAAACTAATATAGTCAATTGAACAATTTATTCATAATATAAATATAGCGGAAATTAAGACAATTGAATAAATGTGCCGGTATACTAAATAGAGAATAATGAAATGAACATATCAACTAGTAGTAGCGGAATGGGCTCGACTATTAGCCAATCTAGGCGACTGTCTAAGGTCTCGGATTTTAGCAAGGCTTTAAAATTTCTCAAGATTTCTATATTTTACTGTTTATAGTAATAAATCGTATTTTTTAAAACATAATAAAAAGCAATTAGGTCATCAATTTTTAACCCAACTATAGCATTTTCTCTTGTTCTTCTTTTAAATGCGAAAAGCCTTACTTTATTGTCCTTAATTTATTTATTTTTATTGAAAATTTGATTGATTAATCTAAAAGTAAAGTTGTCATAGGTGAATACTAGACAGGATTACAATCAATACAATATTATGACCATCACTATGATTTTGTTAATATGAGCGTATGATTTCTCTATGTACTTTTTAATTAGTATCTCAAAACTTGTTTACAATATACCTTTTAGAAACAAAATGCCAGTACACAATAGTTCTAATTGCCCTTCACGAGGCAAGGAGAAAGAAACCTAGTTAAAGGGCGTTTGTTTATCATTTTTGTAAAAAATAGAATGAAAAGTGTTGTTGGTATGAGGCTCACACAAGAGATGGAAATTCAAATTTGATGATTTGATATGATAGATAACGATCATATTTTTTCTATTTTAATGGGAAAAGAATGATAAATAAACAGGGGTTTAGTCTAGTTATTTGAAGATTTTATTTATAGTTTTGTTATCAAATGTTTGAAATCCAAAATAATGTATTCATGATTTTGATTTATTATTTGGCTTAATGACTATAAAAGATATGAATATCACCCTTCCGTTCTTCTTACAATATGTATGTATGTATGTATGTATGTACATTTTGTAACTAAGGCCCCTTGAAATAAAATTCGCCTATCGTTCCCAAATTGCTTGAGCCTATTTTGAGTAAAGGTAGCGCCAACAAATTAACCACCTACGTGGTTGGGATATATTTTTCTATTAACCAATGTGATCGTTGTCAAGTGGTCTTAGCTGAACACATTAGAAAGTAAGGGATAAGCCAAAACTAATTCGACCTATTGTGGTTGTGAATGATATGATATTTTCTCTTCGCGTGGATCCCACAAGTAGATTTAAAAATAAATAAAAATTAATTTACATCTTTTTTTTTTCTTTTCTTTTTTTTTTTTTTCAAAAATGCAATTTTTCATTTCCTTTGTATTTCTCCATTGGAAAGGTTTTCAATTACTTTGAAAATCTAAATCGCATTATAGATATTGATATGGTCCATCTATTTACCTCGACCTCATATTCCCGATGACTCCCCAACTCAGTCTTCAAAAATATATTCATCGGGTATTCCCGAGGATATGGAAAAATATCCTCGACTTCTCTCCTAATCATACCATGAGGTCGGGAAGTGGAGTCCTCGGTATTCATGTCCTCATGCTTTTTTACCTCAATGATACCACATCCTCCTACGAACAATGACGTGTAACACTTAATACCCCACAAGACTTCTAGATGCAAGAGGAGTTCATTGTTGTTAGACTTGTACTGATCCCACACCTGTTATGCATGTCAAACATCCACCTTCGATAGGACTCTATGGGATAAAGATTCCCCAATTGTCCAAACCTAATAGGATTCAACCACCTAACACTATAAATACATGGTTTCAACTCATCATTCAGGTACTCTATATATACAATTTTCAGTCCATAGCCTCACGCACATATTCTAAATTAAGCATCGGAAGGGCGACGAGGATACACCTCGACACCTTTGTTTCAGGTACCGGAAGAACACGTTCGTGCTCGCCACCAGTCGTCCTGCTTGGAATTGCTCAGGTACGATTTTTGGTAGCATCAAATATAATTTAGAGTACCATTGGAGATGTCACTCCATTGTCATCTAATTATTATACGATACCAACATATACCGATAGGTAACGTTACTCCATGTAACCGAAATTTCTTAGAATTATTGATAGGGAAAAAAATTATAGAAAAAAGGGTCAGCATCAAAACGTCAAAATCTAACACGAAATCAATAGAATCGCGATTTTCGGGCAACAAGTTTAGTGCCATTTTTTGCCATTTTCAAGGGAGTCGCCTTTTTAACCCCCTCTGAATGATTACACTGGCGGCGCTCAGATTTTGTCTCTCCCACTTTGGTGTATAGTTTATTATATTTCATTTATTAGGTAATTTTTTTTTTGTTATGAATTTTCTGAATTGCCCTTTTACAGCAGCAGGTAAATGTGCTTTCTTTAATTTGTTTTTGTTGTTAGTAGCAGTAATTATTCTTATTATGGTTTGAAAAGCAAGGGGATATGTGATCGTCTTCACATGGCCTTGTCTGCAAATAGGGTTATTATTTATAGGATGTGATTTAGGGTTTCTGTTGGCCGATAGAAACTAAAATTTGTCAGATAAAAAGAAGGGAACTTTGTCCATACATATTTTTATATCGTTTCCGTTTGGTAGTAATTTTTTACCATAAGAAATCAATTTTTTTTACCGTTATTTCACTATTTCAATCATTATTTTTAACTTCTTTTCTTATATGTGAAACCCACTTTTTTTTTTCTCTCTAACGATCAAAAAATTAATTCTCATTTTCAAAAAATTCTCCAAATACAAAGAATAACACAAAATACTTTTTATTTTAAAAAGTTGATGCTTAATAATAAGTTTCAAGTATATCTCTATTTGGACACTTTAAAATAAAGAGGGTTAGATTCTCCATATTTTAGTGCCAAACTCACTCTCTATTTTAAAGTACAATATTTACAGTTAATTAATCACAAATTTCAATATTATAGTTCTTCAACTATTCAAAACATATTTAGGCCCCGTTTGGTAGGAATTTTTTGCCCCAAAAAATTGATTTTTTGACCATTATTTTACTATTCAAGCCGTAATTTTTGACTTCTTCTCTCACATGTGGACCCCACTTTTCTTCTAACGATCAAAAAATCAATTCTCAAAATCCCTACCAAACGGGCCCTAAAATTGATTGGTCATTGACATATAAAAAATTGTGTTAATTAAAATATGAGAATAAATCGATAAAAATTTCTTGAGAAAAGCAAAATGAAAAGTCAAAATAGAAAACATTATTAGAGAACATATATTTTTTTACTCTCATAATTTATAAATGATGTCTATAATGCATAAAATACTCTTTATAAATAAAACGTCTTTTGAAAATGCTCTTAATTTTTAAATCTTTGCTCATAGTTAAATCAATGAATTTAATTTGTAGGAAGAAATAATTAAGTCTCTGTTTGATAGATTTATAAATAGTATATAAATAAATTTTGAAAAATCAATGAATTCATTTTTGAAATATTGAGATTAAACATGAACTGTAATTAATTTTGTATTTTATTTGTTCAAAATGAGGTAGCTGACAATTGATTAAACTAGTAGTTCTTATCATGAGACAGAAAAGTGTCCAAATCATTTATTTTAAATGAGGATAGAGAGAGTGATATAGACGGCGGAGTAAACGGCGGTGGGGGATGGCTGAGAAAGGCGGAGACGCCACCCAAGGTGGAGGGGGGCAATAAAGCACCTCTAGATTTTAACGACAAGAAGAGATCCTGTCAGTGATGAAACCAGCTTTTTTCAGTGGAACATTTTTAGTTTAGCTTTAGCCCCCTGCCCTCTCCCCGCCCCCCACCAGCACGGAGATGATGGGAAACTGAAGATAATTCCATCGTATACTGAAATTAAATGCTTGAGAAGACATTTGGGGTCTTGTCATTTCACTTTTAACTTTTTCTCAAACGATAACATATAAAAATAGGATAAATTAAAATTATCCACTAATTATTGAATTCGAAATCTTGTTAAATGAGCAAAATATTTTCAGTTATGTTAGATGTACATCATTCTTTATATTGTGACATAACAATACATCATTAGACAATTTAAAAAATTAAAATTTTTTCCCTCCAACCCTTTTCTAATCGTGTCGAAAAAGCATAGCGGTTGTTTGTGGGAAAATGCTAAATGTATAGCATCTATTGTACACTTAGTTTAATAGCCTTCTCACACGGTTGGACCCGTTATTATTTTAATCGCGGGCTTCACTTCCTCCATATGAGAGGACCGTCAAAGAAAGTGTACTATGTTATGTGCCGTGCTGTACACCTAGCAGTTTTGGAACCATCGTATTCATTTTGATTTGTCTTATATGTTTGTGCATAACCATAAATTGAAAACAAACTTGATATATTGCCAGTTGCCACTAAAACATCTAACGGTTCTGAAAATCCTGATTACAGTTTTAGGTAGCTTAGGTAGCAATAGCATGCATGGGAAAGAAGGTGTGTGTTTGTTATTGGTTAAATAAATTAGATTTCAAACTGTGCACCCTTCTCTTGTGTTTGGAAGTTGATATTGGCAAAATTCTGATCAAATACATATTGTGGCAGAGAATCAAGATTTGTTTACCCAAATAGGAGCAACTCATAGATTTTTGTCTATTTTGTACTTCTCTCTTTCAATACTAATTAACATTATCGATCTGATGCATTGGCATTTGGCTTGGTGCTGCCTTTTAATTTCTACAGTACAAGGGTGTTTGGACAAGATTCTTTGAGTTTTTTGGGGATTTA